TAAAAATGTTTAAAGAAGCTTCCATTGTTTATACAATTAATTTTCTTTGCCTGTCTTAGCTATGGAGTAGAAACATAACAAACTTGAGGGGCACATAATGATGTCAAAGGATTGTTTTAAGAACGTCTTATATGCCGTACATAAAAATCAAAACTTTATATGAAATTCTTACTTCTTTAAGTAAAGCAAGCTTAATTAAAATCGATTATAAACGCTTCTGCACATTTATCTTTTTTTTCATTCGTTCATGTCTTAAAAGGGCCGCTACTAATATCTCCAAAAAAGGAAATTAGTTTATGTTTATTGTATAGTTTGAGCAGAGAGATGGTAAATTGTATTGCTATTGTCTCTTTTTATATATACACATGTATGCACACTTAACGGAGCTGGACTTTTCTGTGCGAAATTACAGTTGCATTACAATTTTGACGAAATCTATTTGAAACAGAATGAATAATATTTTACGCAATTCAGGTCATATATACATCTTCCTCCGTAACATCGGCTAACCTGACAACTAACTTTTCATATTTCGATTTGATTGTTTTAACCAATGGCGAAATATTACGTCCAACACACATGTTTATAGTTTTGGTATGAAGCGATGCGGTTATGTAATATTTCCTTGAATGTTAAAACTCTACCGCTCTAACTTGACTCTTTTTCGTCCTAAAAGCTTAAGGTAAAAATAGGCAAACCATATTTTCCCAGTTATTATTTCAAAAATTCTACGTTCTCGGTATCTCGGAAATAAAATAAAAAAGACTCGTATTTTCGCCTGTTTCCACACGACTGGAATGGAAACATTCCTCTTCTTTTAAACCAGAAAGGTGTGTGTGCGTGTTTTTATTTAATTCCTTTCCTTAAAGTCATGTACAGGTTTTAAACTTCAGTATCCGGGGTATCAAGATACATGTATCAGAGTTGACAATCAGCCTTCAAGATTTCAACGTGAAACTCAACTGATTTATTTCATGTGACGAATTCATTAGCAATAAAATATGTTTTGTTTAGAAGTTTCATGGTCATCAACGTTTTGAACGAATCGTCGTTTTTTTCCCTCGCATTTAACATCACCAGTGCTTTTATTTGTCATCATTATAAAACTTAGACTTCTTTGTTGTCTTACGTTTTATATAAATTGGTTTATGATTTAAACATTTTTATAACTTTTAGTATAAAAAACATAACCACTTGTTACAAGTATTAGTACTTTTTCCTCTAACAGTGATTTATTCTCAAAAGATGTCTCCATATCTGATATTTATCAGAAGCTAGTACTTTTCTTCGCCTAAACTATATATATATATATATATATATATATATATATATATATATATATATATATATATATATATATATATATATATATATATATATATATATATATATATATATATACATACATAATTTTTTTTTATCTTCTGTTTTATAAATGTTCTCAATCATAATATCTCTGTCGATACAATGGTTATTTTCTTCAACATTGAGAATACTGTTCTTCGCATATACCTGGTAGGCCGGCTTTTATCGGAATAATTTAAGAAAATTGATATGTACAATAGTTTTTATCAGACACTTCTTTTTGATGTATTTATTTGATCATTTCAAAATTATTTTTTAAGCAATTTATTTGTAGCAAAATTTTCGGGGCATCCTCATCTACCGCTTTTTCTTTAGCATATTCTCTTAATGTTAATTCAGTATAGAATTAATTATATAGGGACCGTTTGACCCCCTCCCCCCTCCCCTCAATTGTTGGTGTAGTAGGAGGTATGAATCTCCCATGTTACCAGTATCTATATCCATACAAAGAGGGGTTATCATTTTTTCAGCTATAACTTTTAACGTTTGTATTTCTATTCGGAGATTTTTTTTGGTCAATTTATCTCCCTCCTCCCCTCCCCCCACTACACATTTGAAAATCGACATTTCACACGGAGCTGTCTAACTATGAACATCAGTATGATTAACTATGGATTAAAATGATAATGGCTAAATACATTTTACGTTATGGTAATTTTCAGAATAAAGAAGATTTATAAAGAGCGGTGTTGTGCATTGCTCTCTCTCTCTCTCTCTCTGAAAATACTATATACGTGTACGGATTATACCTCTTTTTAAAATGTTAAAACTGCTGAATATTATAATATTAGTCAATTCCTCGATTTAACTCAGGAGATAACAGGAATTCCTCATAGCTGTAAACAGAAAGAGAAATTGCATCCATACATAACATTTACTTGTTTTCTTATTGAACATATCCATAAGGACATACATTTCTTAAAATATTTTACAGCATGAATTGAGTTTAACATTCTTTAAGCATTTTTTTTTTCAACACTGCAAATGAATTAAATAAATTATGCACTTTCCGAGACAACTTAAACGACAAAAAAACTCGTTTATGAAAATTTCTATTAATAAATATTTCGATATTTACGACATTCTAAACATAGGTACTGAATAATAAAAAAATATAAAAAAAAAATACACAGTCCATTTTCTTAAATATACATGTATATAATATATGCCACTGAAAATATTAGAAGAAGGCATATCTCCCTGTTTTGATAGGGGAAAGCATCTCCTAGTTTACGAAAATACCAAAATTTTAATTTAAACACAAACTAGAAAAACATCCTGACTGAAGTTATAAAAACGTCAAAAGTATTGATTTCATTGAAAGTAGATTTTATATATATATATATATATATATATATATATATATATATATATATATATATATATATATATATATATATATATATATATATATATATATATATATATATATATATATATATATATATATATATATATATATATGATTTCGAGAATTTTTATTGTTTTACTGTTAATTTCCTTGTTGTCAAAATAAGAAATAAAGAAATGTAAAAAAGAAATATAGTTTTCTCTAGATAGGGTGAACGAATTATTAAATTACACAGCAGTGTTTAGTGTTTTCAAATACTTTTTCAGATTGCCAAGAGATTGCAATTTTTAAAGCTCAAATTCATCAATTCAAGCTCTTTTTGTCCCATGCTCAGGATATTTGAGATTACTTGAAAAAAAGAAATGATTTTAAATCGTCAATAAAAATTTGGAGACAAAAATTATGTTGGTACACAACTGCGTCATTCTCTTGGCAAATTCCAAGAATTAAAAAAATATATCTATATTTAAAAATTCATAGAATTAGGTTTATTTTCAAAGAAAAATTGTAATGTTAATTGATTCAAAATATGTATTTGAGAATATGCGTTCATATCACTAAAAATAGTTCTGATCATGAGTTAAAGGGAAATTAACCATTTCCAGTATCACATGATCTAAACAATGAAAATAATCAAGTTGATGGCTTTAAATTTACATTTCAGTAAAATCTATCATCCGACATTGACAATGCTGGGAAAGGGTTTGCATTTATTTGCACATCTCCTTGATACATTACTTGCATTTCTCATAATGATAAACTCTTCCACTCTACTAAGCTTCAAATGGACATTTCTGTCGAAACATATCTAAAACTTATTCTAAAAGTGTTAACATTCTACTACAAATCTGCTACTATATCATCGCAGACCAGGAGGCTGTGCAATATAATTGGCATTTCACTATCACGATAGGCGTTGACACGATAATGAACCCTCACTGTTCAATGATCCTGAGTGTCAAGTATAGGTCTATATTTGAGGCCCTTCACCTGTATATGATGACGTCTCTATGATTGCTTTCTTTGTGAGTACAAGTATAAACGGTTGTATTTGTTACATAAAACAAAAACATTACTCGAGTAAGTTGGTTATGCAATTTTTTCAGTGACATCTGCAACAGTTAATCCTGTTCTTACAATCAAGGAAAGGCATTTTTTTTTTGTTTATGTTTTATTTGTATGAATAAACATATAAAGTATGGCAATTATGATAATGAGTTTGGAAATATAAATCGTCAGGCCATCCAAAGTTTCAAGATACTTGTAAAATTCCGTTACATTTTCAGCTCAATTCTTTCTTTTTTTATTTTTATCAAATTAATGATCTTTGTGTATGACAACTGTCGATTTGCATGGAGATGCCTCCCAGATATTTGTTTACTTTGCTGTTATATCTCGTGAAGAATAATTTAAGAAATGGATTTTGCAATCACGTGCTAACATTATGCATGTAGTTTAAAACAGGATACACTGTATAAAGTTTATGATAATTGACGTCATATTCTATACTGTCGTGGTATCTTTGTAAATAAAAGAGGTAACATCATATGGTAATTCTGATATTTGGTTAAAAACCTTAAAGTACTCATGAGTTGAAACAAAAAAAAAGGTATTTGAATACATTTAATTACTAAATATTGTATATGATGAAACCCAACATGATTCTTAAGATATGATGCTTTTTACATCATTGCAGTCAATGTTCTCTTCATGGCAAAAAATCGGGAAAGAAATGTTTGTTAATGAGAGGGACTACAAGTACCAATGGCGATGAATAAAAGTTATCTGTGAGAACAATCAGTAGAGATTTCACATGTAAATTGGATAACTATGATAAATAATTGCAAAACACCATTTTGTGTAAATTTGAGTTAAATTTTATTCATAATGTCTAAAATATTTCAAATTAGTAAGTGAAAACAAAAATAAAATATTAACTGTCTGTTAGTAAGTAAATAGGTTGATCCTTTACTTTGTTAGCCCATGGATGTTTATGAAGACCTTTGATAATGCAGTCCGAATTTTTCAACATCCTTCTTTAAAGAAAACTTTGCATTATGTCTGCTATTCACTTTTTGTTTTATTTAGGAGGTGGACGAGTGAAGGAAGAAAGTATATCACATCCCTTTGAGTGTTGAGGAGCTTTATTATCAGCTCCTGAATTCTTGCTTTTTTCAGCCTTTCCACCATCCTTAGATGAGGTTTCATTTGCACACATTTTCTCCTTGGAGTCCCCTCAATGCTTGCCACTGTGTTTATCCATCTCCATTCTTTTTCCTGTAAAATGCAGTATGTAAATGCATATAAGGTATTAATTTGCACCGATAGAATAGATTCTGAAAAAAATCCTAATTGATTTCAAGACAAGTAATTGAATAAATCATAAGAAACTTATTCCTCTTATATATATATATATATATATATATATATATATATATATATATATATATATATATATATATATATATATATATATATATATATATATATATATATGAAAATTAAAAATAACAAGGCAACAATGTTAGTAAAACGTAAGCGCTTTCATTATACTTCTTCAGACGTTTTACAATTCAAGACAATTCAAACATGTGACGTTATAACGCTACCTGATGATAACGTCAACAACAATGCAATGACGTCACAATGCTTATAGAGGAAACAATTATAGAGTCTAAGTAAAATTACTTTGTTCATTAATAGCGTAATAAATAATAAAGTCATGAAACAGTCTATATTAAACTATTTAAGGACGGTTTAAAAATCTTGATGAAATGTTTTTCTTTTTCCCGTCTTTCTAAAAGATTTTCTGTTTTGAGTTTATAAAAGGGATAAACTGAGAATTGTCCCTGTCCACAAACAGCAAGATGTTCACTGAGTTTTATTTTTCTGTACTCGGGTTGGTTGATATGTTGTCTATGTATGCGTATACGAGTGCGTAGTGTGGTCCCCGTTTCTCCTATGTATAATTGTCCGCATCCAGTGCATGTTATACAATAAATAACGTTTTTAGATGCACAGGTCATATCTGCATTGATAGTAAATTCTTTATTTCCGAGTGTAAAAGTACTTCCCTCTTTAATATACTGGCAGGTTCCACAACGTGAATCAGAGCATTTATTGACCACATACAAATTCCGTTGGTGAAATGTAGATTTACACAATATTCTTCGGAGGTTTTTAGGTTGTCTTTTACTGTTGATGAATTTATATTTTTCCAGTACTTTGGACATTTTCTCATCCGTCTGTAGAATGTTGTTGAGGTGACGCACTGTAGAGGTTATATTCCTGTTCTTTGGATTGTATGTAGTTACAAGCGGTAATATTGCAGAATCTGATGTGTCACTTTTTGAAGAATTAATAAGTTTATCTCTGTCGATTTCTATAGCCTTTCTGATTCCGTCCTCAATGATTCCAAGAGGATAGCATTGTTCAAGCAGATATTTTTTTAATTCATTCAGACGTTCATCTCTTTTTTTCTTGTCGCTAACAATAGTGCAGATTCTTCTAGCTAAATTGTAAGGGATTGAACGTTTCGTATGACTTGGATGACAGGAACTGAAATGGAGGCAAACAGAGCCAAGGTCAAAGATTTCAGCAATACCAATACCTACAAGGACAGAGGAAAAATTGGGAACCATAGACCCAAAAGTGATAAACCTGTCAAGTAGGCCATTAAACGCGGCTGAAATAAAATTACTGTCAAAAGGATTAAAATTTACACCAACACCAAGTGACTCTAATCTTCAGGAATTATCTAAGGATATCAAGGAATATACAAGAAAATTAAGACTAGCAGAGTATTTTCATAATGATGACGAAGACGAAAACACGTCTGAAGGTGATCTTGTTAGGAACAAATCAAATTTTAATCCAAAGAAAGGAAGGAACAGTCTCCTTGACACCGTTTGTAATACTCTGCAAAATATACCTCTAAATAATGAAAAAAATAACACAAGAAATAATTTACGAAAAGAAGAGGAAAAGGCTGTTCAATCATTGACAAACGACAGTTCAATCGTAATCAAAGAAGCAGACAAGGGTGGAGCAGTAGTAGTTATGAATGCAGAATTTTACAAAACAAAAATATTACAAATGCTCATTAACAGCGAGTTTTACGATGAAATATCAGAGAACAGTGATAAAAAGACAATGCGAAAAATTAAAAACTTAATAAAAAACCACAATACAACTTCCTTTTTAACAGCCAAAGAAGAGGACTTTTTGACTAATTTTGATTTTAGAGAAAGTGCCTTTTATGGACTTCCTAAGATACACAAATCTAAAATAATTAAGGAAGCGATCAAAATACAAAACTCTGCATACATTACATGTAGCGATCCAGAGGATCTTACATTTAGACCTATCGTGGGTGGACCAAAAGCTCCAACACAAAGGCTGAGTCATCTTATGGACATATTACTGAAACCTTTATGTTTAGAAGTAAAAAGTTATGTTCGGGATGATCTAGATTTCCTGAAACATCTTCCTGAAAAAGTTAGTCATGATGCCAAGCTAGTCACAATGGATGTTACTAATTTGTACACTAATATTACTACTTCTCTTGGTGTCAAGGCGCTCGAGTACTGGATTGATAAATATCCACAAAAAATTAATGAGCGTTTCAGCAAAGACTTCATCTTAGAGGCTAGTAAAATAGTATTGGAAAATAATACTTTCTCTTTTAACGACAAACATTATGCACAAAAGAAAGGAACGGCAATGGGTACAAAGATGGCCCCTACTTATGCCACCCTTACACTAGGATATCTAGAGGAGAGGATGTATGAAAAAACTACTCAGTACTTTGACCAACAGACTTCAGAAAATATAAAGAACAATTGGAAAAGATACCTTGACGATTGTTTTATCATTTGGAATGACAGCGATGCGAATCTAGCAGTTTACCTAAATATTATAAACGATCTAGATCCTGACATCAACTTCACAATGGACGAAAGTTTACAAAGCATTCCGTTTTTGGACGTCCTTATAGCAAAGCATGGAGAATGTATTTCGACAGACATATACTACAAACCGACAGACACACATCAATATCTCCATTTCAGTTCCTGTCATCCAAGTCATACGAAACGTTCAATCCCTTACAATTTAGCTAGAAGAATCTGCACTATTGTTAGCGACAAGAAAAAAAGAGATGAACGTCTGAATGAATTAAAAAAAATATCTGCTTGAACAATGCTATCCTCTTGGAATCATTGAGGACGGAATCAGAAAGGCTATAGAAATCGACAGAGATAAACTTATTAATTCTTCAAAAAGTGACACATCAGATTCTGCAATATTACCGCTTGTAACTACATACAATCCAAAGAACAGGAATATAACCTCTACAGTGCGTCACCTCAACAACATTCTACAGACGGATGAGAAAATGTCCAAAGTACTGGAAAAATATAAATTCATCAACAGTAAAAGACAACCTAAAAACCTCCGAAGAATATTGTGTAAATCTACATTTCACCAACGGAATTTGTATGTGGTCAATAAATGCTCTGATTCACGTTGTGGAACCTGCCAGTATATTAAAGAGGGAAGTACTTTTACACTCGGAAATAAAGAATTTACTATCAATGCAGATATGACCTGTGCATCTAAAAACGTTATTTATTGTATAACATGCACTGGATGCGGACAATTATACATAGGAGAAACGGGGACCACACTACGCACTCGTATACGCATACATAGACAACATATCAACCAACCCGAGTACAGAAAAATAAAACTCAGTGAACATCTTGCTGTTTGTGGACAGGGACAATTCTCAGTTTATCCCTTTTATAAACTCAAAACAGAAAATCTTTTAGAAAGACGGGAAAAAGAAAAACATTTCATCAAGATTTTTAAACCGTCCTTAAATAGTTTAATATAGACTGTTTCATGACTTTATTATTTATTACGCTATTAATGAACAAAGTAATTTTACTTAGACTCTATAATTGTTTCCTCTATAAGCATTGTGACGTCATTGCATTGTTGTTGACGTTATCATCAGGTAGCGTTATAACGTCACATGTTTGAATTGTCTTGAATTGTAAAACGTCTGAAGAAGTATAATGAAAGCGCTTACGTTTTACTAACATTGTTGCCTTGTTATTTTTAATTTTCATATTAATTACCGGACACTGTGATATTTCTTTTCATTTTTTGGATATATATATATATATATATATATATATATATATATATATATATATATATATATATATATATATATATATATATATATATATATATATATATATATATATATATATATATATATATATTCTATTTTGTATCAATATGCCGTAATGTAAGGTAAGTGGAAAATTTAACAGGAGGGAAAAGCAGGCAAACAATTAAACAAATGAAAAAAAAAAAACAACAGGATTTAATAATCAATGCTGTAAATTAAGAAAAATTTGCACCAAAAGCCAAAAGAAAGAAAATAAAGTAATCTCAGTGATCAATATTTAAAACCCACAAAAAATTCCATTCAAAGGGTATTACGCTTCAAAAAATACCTGAAATTATTAGGATATATATAAAGGCTAAAATAAAAGAGGAGGATGCTGTATAAAAACCTAATTCATCTTTGATGAACAACAGAGGCAAAAGTTTGCACAAAATCAAACCTCCCCCCCCCCCCCCCCCCAAGGAAGAATAATAATGGACACTTACAAAATAAAAAAAAATGAACAAACGTGAAGAGATAAGAACAAAATATATGTATTAAGAAAATAAAAACAATTAAAAATCATTTTAAAAAATGAAGAAAGCAAATTACCAAAGCATATGAATAATTTTGCTTTATACTAATTATGTTAGATGAATTGAAAATAGGTACAGGTACCTGTCTTTCAGTTGCTTATGACAGGGAATCAAAAACTCTTCCAAGAATAAGATGCTCAAATCACCAAAAGCACTCTAGACTGTTCATGATAGCTGTCTTAGAATATTTATATACTAAGAGCACAATGAATGGCCAATTTCTTTTCTTTAGAAAGAGACGTAAATAGAATTACAAGAAATGGATAAAGTTCTGTTATGGTGTTTTCCTTTCAACAGGTCAACAATGGCGTGAGAAATTAAAGCAGTTTTTATCTGTCATTTTAAGGTCGTACATTGATACCCTTGTGCAGCCACCAAAATCTTAAAGGTTAAATGCTATGCATTTCACTTAAAAAAAAAACTGCATATAGTTCATGTTATTTCTTCCACTCCAATCTAATGGATGTAAAAACGAAATCTTCCTTATTGAAAGTTCCCTAAGTAATTATAGACATCCCACGTGATGTTTTTCCTGTGTATAAGGTGCAAAGGTTATCAGTATAGGGACCTATACGGTTACTGCACACGAATTTACTGTTACCTTTCATTTTTCTTGCAGATGAGAAAGAGATTAAAAAGACATTCCCAAAAATACCAGACAGTATAAGATGATAAGGAAAATGAAAGTAGGTACCGTTTGTAGAAAAGAGTCTGAATCAAGTGCGTCAGATTCAGAACAAGAAATATACTACATACCAAGACCTTTTTTTATACAAAAAGAAAGGATATGTCTCACACACTTCAGGTATAGATGATAATACTGGCCTCAATGGTTCAAGTAAACATATGGGATCAGGTGCCTCTAGGGCAACTTTTTTGTTGTTATATCTTGTTTTACGTCCCATTCGAGAATTTCACACTCATATAGAGACATAAGCATACACCGGTGAAGGGTTTTAAGTTTAGATCTTTACTCGGTACTCAGTGCCATTGAGCATTGAGGGTTATTCTTCGTACAACGCTTACTTTCAATGTGAGTAATAACATCAGTTGACTTAATCTACAGTTAGGATGATTTTCTTCTGTTGAACCTGAATCTTATATTCAGAATACATAATGTAACTCTAACACAACTTCGGGCTTATATTATACAAATGCTAATAAAAATTCGCCATAAGAACGTAAAACGAATCCGTCTATTACACAACCAAGACGCTCTACTCCAGTGCAAAAGATACCAGAAAGATTTGGGAACTGGTTAGTTGGGGAACACTACGCAGGTTTGGAATGTATAAGGGGAAATGTCACAATGATATGAAATATTTATAATAGTTTTATGACATTAAATTCAGCAATGAACGAAGAAGTCTTACTAAATGAATTTTCTAACTATCTGAAATATGATGTACAGTATGTGTTTATTATAGTTTTCTGACCTTGAATTTATTTAGTAGCTAAAGAGAGTTACTAAATATATTCTATGAAGACAATCGTGTATTTTTTTTTTTTTAGAATAGTATATGGTTTTAAATTCTATTGATTGATCAGGTAAAAATAAATAATTTCATCTGGTGGCCGCTAGATAATTATCTGGCTAATCTATTGATTGATCAGAAATATTAAAACTCATGTTGCTTATGCGTTACTAATCTTCTTGTTTACAGGAGAAGACATCTACAATGCTGACTTTAAACGAGGTTGTTGAAATCTCTGTTACATAAATTTATGTGTGAGTAGCCTGTCTCGGTTAAAAAAAATGATTGTACTCGGAGCATGCCCTTGAGTTTCGAATAAGCTGGGAGATGTAAACACCATAATGTAGGTTATGGTAGAATATACTACAAAAATAAGGATAGTTGACGATTAAACTGCTAAAGTCATCTCTTTTGTCATACAATTTAGTTGTTAGTAAGCCTTTGTTGTCTTCAGTAGTAAACCATCCAAATATGAAACGGATATTACATTAATGAATAATGACTTGTCGTTCACACTGAAAGACATCCAACATAATGAAATAACTGTGATGTACATCCACCAAAACTATGGAAGCCGGTAGGTTCCAGGTAGAAAAAAATATTTTATTAGTTTCTGGCGGCTGCGAAATAATTATCTGTCGGTCGCCACATAAATAACTGGCGGCCGCCAAATAAGAAAATCAATTCTAGTGGTCACCAGATAAAAAGATCTTGCGGAGTGGCCACCAGATAAAAAGATCTGGCGGCCACCATATAATTTTCTAGCGGCCGCCAGATAAAAAGATAACTTATCTGTCGGTCGCCAGTAATTTTTTGGCCAGATGAAATATAATAACAAATGTTCTTCATAGGTTTTGATATTGATTTATCTCAGTGGGACCGACAAAAACTTCAAGATATCCAAGGATTCGAGATATCCAGGGTAAAATACCCAAGGAAAAAGGGATTGGGACTTCAAAATCACTTCGACATATCCATGGTATTCGAGATATCCGTGTTCGAGATACGGAAGTTCAACTGTACGTATTATCATTTCATTATCATCATCACCCTTAACACTAAATAAATTACAGCCATCTAAAATTCGCTGTATGTCCATTCATAAAGTTTTTCATTCATATTAATTAAGTTGAATACTAATACATTAAATGAATAATTTAATAATAATAAAATAATAATTTGGTTAAAGATAGTTAGATCAAATATGTAAAAGCTTGATAAACTGAATTATAAAATGTGCTTGCAGAGTTGTGAGAGTGTATTTATTTATTTGCAATTCTGTTATTATTGTTAAAGGTGATCTAATCTTGCAATAAATTAAAAATCGATAATTATTGATCCCAATAACTGATTGACTTATTATTCAAAAGGTTAATACAAATATTTTAACGCCTGTGACATGAAATTAAATAAGATGGACTTAGAACAAAATCAAGAAAGATTCAAGGTCATATGGCATGTCAAGGTCATAAGAAAGGTCAAGTTAGAAAATTATGACATAGTTAAATAATAATTTTGTTTGTATTCTTGCCTCTGATTGGTTAATATCCAAAAAGGAACACAAATCATTTCTGTATAACCTGGTTTGGTATGGGGACACCCCCCCCCCCCCCCCCTGGCAACCAGCTGAATTATCTGTATCCATACAATCCTCTCATTTCCAGTCCTCGAGATACATGGAAAATTCCAAATTTAATAAACGTACCTTTAACTTCAAACAATAATTCGCTCTTACCACATGTAAAAAGGCTGCTAGGCCTATGTATCAGTTTTTACCTCCCCTTGCTTCCTATCACTTCCGTTACTTCGTTACTAAGGTTGTATTATTGAGCGGCAAATTTGAACTAATAAAAAGCAACGAAATTTTACACCCATAGTTATTTCATGATTTTAAAGTTAAATTATAAGGAATTACTCTAATTCTTGGCCAAATTATTCGAGTATAACCTGGTTTGGGTCAGTTTACGCTGTTTTATAATCCGCTTCGCGAATAATTTGGCCAAGAATTAGAGCCATTCCTAAAATAAAACTTATGAATCATGCTTGTTGAAAGATCTTGGAAAAGGGTTAAAGGTTACAGGGGATCAGGGACAATAATTATAGAATGTATGATTGCTTGTCTGTGTCAAGCTTGGTAAAAACATCCTGAATATTCTATTTGAAACTTAAGAAAAAAACAAAAAAAAAAATTGAACAATGGGGTCAAATTATGGGGAAGGTCATGGACAGAAAAAGCACGGTTATTTTTTTTTAAACAGGGTTAAACGCAAAATCAATAGTGTCACAAAGAATTGATGGAGATAGATAACACTTCCCAGTAATAGTTTATGAGTTTGATAAAAAGAATGACTTGAATAGTTCCTTTAAACCTGAGCTAAATGCAGAATGAAAAATATTTAGATCAAGATCATATGGAAGGTCGAGGTCAAAAATTTTGATAGAGTTGAATAGACTTCACGAATATGCATCTGTGTATAAAGTTGAATCAAAATAATTTGAATAGTTTCTATAACATTGAGCTAAAACAAACATAATGAACACCTCATGTCCCGGCCACACATGAACATATGACCTAATCATGACACTTGTGAGTCAATAAACGACGCAACGTTAAGATGTATGTGCAATCAAAGTAGTTATAAAGGACCAAAGAATTTTGAAAATGCGTACTTTAAACAAGGTCAATATAGTTTGTGTGTTGTATAGGTGTAGATGCTGGGTTTTTATTTTCAGTATACGGAAGTTGATCATTTGGATCAAAATTGTATGTAAAAAAATCGATCCTTTGGGATAAATACATTAGATCTAGAAGAGAAAGTATATTCAGCAGAACAAGAGTACATTTATTTCTATATCAAAAAAAAAATGCTGAAGAAAACAATAATATGCCACCGCCTTTCCCATTTACATTGACGTTATCAGGTACGATTCATTAGCCATTACCATTATAAATCACCAGGTGAAACTGTTTCAGTTTCAGAACAGGCTTTTAGATATCCATTATTTTGTAAAAGAATGACCTCTATAAATTTATAAAACTGGTTAAAACAGTTTATATTTATATCATCGTTGGATTGTGCATTACAGAACATTAGATTAGATTTAAATTTTGAACGTGAAATGTGAAAAATAAAACATGAATATTAATAGTTTCTAATTTTAAGACGTGGGTATTTGGTATTTCCCAATCCAAGAAAACTTCATTGTAACTTAATACACATACATGTGGATTCATAAAATTCATCTACCTTGGTTTATTTAATACACCAGGTGAAACTGTTTCAGTTTCACATCATACTTTAAAATTTCTGTGATTTTATAGAGGAATGAGTTTAAAAAATTTATAGAAGTAGCAAAAACAGTTTCATATCATGAATTTAAATCACCGTGACATTGAGAATGAAGAAAGAAATTTCAATGAATAGGTATGTGCTATTTCCAATTGAATGTATTTCTAAATCCAAGAAAAATACATTGTAGAGAATTATATATATATATATATATATATATATATATATATATATATATATATATATATATATATATATATATATATATATATATATATATATATATATATATATATATCCCGATTTTAACCCAAAATAAAACATCTATTGTAAAATTTAGGGTGAAAAACCTAATATATTGGAAACCTACTAACATTAAGGTGGTCATTTTTTCAAAAAAAAAAATAAATAAAAAAATAAAAGAAAGAAAGAAAAGAGAAAAAAGAACAAAAATTGAAGTTCTAAGCTCTACAAATCAATTAATCAATCGATAACATAAGAACTTACATAAACTTGCAAAATTCATCATTAAGTACGAGGGGTTACCAAAATGTTTGTGAACTGATGCAATTAAGTAAATACATGTACTATGTAGTCGGTGTTTACAAAATTCATAAGGAATGTAAAATAACAGAAGTTAAAGAAATGTTGAAAATTTTAGCTTGACACGTTGATAATTTGCAAAATCATCATTAAATAAAAAAGACATTATATGATCACCCGGCGCTGCGGCCGATGAGTTTTATGACGCCCGATAACGTTATTGTTTCTTAATGTCCGATCGCTCTTCCTTTATACATTATTTTGATGAGGTTCCCTGGAGTTAAGAAAAGACTGAATCCTTTCTTATTTAAATGACTTTACAGTGTCATGAACAGATAATCTCAATGCATATTATTCTAAATGG